GAGCAGGGGGGCGGGGCTGTGAGCCAGGACTCCTGGGTTCTCTCCCCAGAAGGACACGCTCTGGCAGTCAGGAAAGCCCAGCCCTCCTTATTGCTGGTCTGATCTGATCCGTGGTGCTGTAACTTCCCCGCCCTGCCTACAGGACTCCTGGCTTCCTGTCCGCTCCCAGGGCAGCAGATCCGCTGGTTTCCCATCCCTCTCCAGGGCAGCGGGCCAGGCGGGTGGCAGGCCAGTCACCTGGCTGCCTTGGCATCGAGCCCTCGAACGGCAGCCCCTGGCGGGGAGCCTGGAGCTGGGAATGACTGATGGGGAAGGAGGAGCAGGAGGGATAGCACCCGAACCATGGGTAGAACCCAGGAGTCCTGGCTCCCCCCTCCCCCACCCGCCGGTGCTCACTGGATCTCCCCTCCACAGCTCTTTGAGCCCGTGAGCTGCACCTACACCTACCTGCTCGCGGACCTGAAGACCAAGGAGGCGGTTCTGATCGACCCGGTTCTGGAGACGGCCAAGCGGGATGCGGAGCTGGTGAGGGAGCTGGGCCTCAACTTACTGTATGCAGGTGAGAGCAGCTCCCAGGGGGGCTGGATGGGGACAGTCTCGTTGTGAAAGGGAATGGGGTCACTCAGAGCCTTTCCCCTCTAGGGGGCACCGGCCCCGATCCGGCCCCAGGGCAGGGACTGGCTGGCTTGGGGGATGGAGAACGGGGAACGGGGCCTTTCCCCTCTAGGGGGCACCGGCCCCGATCCGGCCCCAGGGCAGGGACTGGCTGGCTCGGCGAGGGGGGAACGGGGCCTTTCCCCTCTAGGGGGCACCGGCCCCGATCCGGCCCCAGGGCAGGGACTGGCTGGCTCGGGGGATGGAGAACAGGGAACGGGGCCTTTCCCCTTTAGGGGGCACCGGCCCCGATCCGGCCCCAGGGCAGGGACTGGCTGGCTCGGCGAGGGGGGAACGGGTTGGGTTCCCGTCTGTAAATCCCTGATTCTGCTCCACGCAGCCAACACCCACTGCCACGCCGACCATATCACGGGCACCGGGCTGCTGAAAAAGATACTGCCCGGCTGCCGCAGCGTGATCTCCCGGGACAGCGGGGCCTTGGCCGACATCCTCATCCGCGAGGGCCACGCCCTGGAATTCGGGGCCTTCGTGAGGCGTCAGGGCAGGGGGGCTGGGAGCCAGGACTCCTGGGTTCTCTCCCCGGCTCTGGGAGGGGACTGGGGTCTAGTGGTTAGTACAGCGGGGATCCTGGGAGCCAGGATTCCTGGGTCCCATGGAGGGTCATGTCGCTGGCTCCCCCTGTCTGCAGGCCCTGGAAGCCCGCTCCACCCCCGGACACACGGACGGCTGCCTGACCTATGTGCTTAGTGACAGGACCATGGCCTTCACCGGGGACGCGCTGCTGATCCGGGGCTGCGGCCGCACCGACTTCCAGCAGGGTGAGGGCGAGCTGGGGTGGGGTGGGAGGTGTGTGTTATCGGGGGGAGGGTTTCTTGGAGGGGTAGTGAATGGTTACCCTGGGGACAGGAGGGTGCATCCCTTGGATATGATGGTGGCTGCCATGGCGATGGTGACAACCGCTGGGCATGACCTGGAAGTGCCATGGTGAGGGGTGTGGGGGTGTTATCTCTAGGACATGATTGGTGATTGCCATGGGGATGGAGGGAGCATCTCTGGGTTCACCTCCTAGTCGCCATAGCCCTGGGGAACATGGCTGCTGGTTGCCACGGTGATGGCAGTGGGTGCTGGGGCGATGATGGGGGTGCCATGCCAGGGAGCTTTGGCCAGGCAGTTGCATGGGTTGCTGGGGTGCCATGCCAGGGGATTGGCTGTGTCTCCCACTGTGTGGTAACCAGGCCCCACTTCTCTCCGCCCTCCAGGCTCCTCGGAGACTCTGTACCGCTCCGTGCACGAGAAAATCTTCACGCTCCCCGGAGAGTGTCTGATCTACCCCGCCCACGACTACACGGGTGAGTCCGAGCGCGGCGCTAGGGGGCGCTGTGCTGCAGGGGGCGGGGCTCAGTAGGGGCAGTCAGGGCTGGCCCCAATGCCCCAGCCCGGCACTAGGGGGCGCTGTGCTCCAGAGAGCCGAGTGGGGGCTCCCCCTGCTGGTGTGGTATCTCACCTGCCCCCTGGCGCCCCCTGCAGGCCAGACGGTGTCCACAGTGGATGAAGAGAGGACCCTGAACCCCCGACTGACCCAGAGCTGCGAGGCCTTTGTCCAGCTGATGAACAACTTGAACCTTCCTCAACCCCAACAAATTGGTGAGGCTGGGAGCCCGGACGCCTGGGTTCTCTCCCGAGGCTGGGAGGGGAGTGGGGTCTGGTGGTTAGAGCAGGGGGGGGCTGGGAGCCCGGACGCCTGGGTTCTCTCCTGAAGCTGGGAGGGGAGTGGGGGTCTAGTGGTTAGAGCGGAGGGGGGACAGGTTCTATCCCAGCTGAGGGCCGGCGTGGGGTGTAGCCGAGGCCAGGGCCCCTATCACTCTGCCTAACGTGTCTCTGTTTTTTCATCCTCTGCAGATTTTGCCGTCCCAGCGAACCTCAAGTGTGGGATACAGGATGCAGCGACTTAGCCCCACTCTGTTTCTCCAATGCCACACCTCTCATATTAAGCCCCACCCACCTCATCATAGGCCACACCCTCCCATTGACCCTTATGATGATGGAAGGTCCTTTGGCCTGGGGCTGGCTGTCCCTGACTCTCACTCGGGTCCCCCCCCTTAAGCAAAATCTGGGGCCTCCCTCTTTGGGGTCTTGAGTGGGAGGGCGCATCCCTTAAGTGGGGAGGGGGTTAATGATCTTCAACCATGGCAGCTTCCCTTCCCCCGCTGCAACGTCCCCACCAATTCCTCTGACACCCGCAGTCTGGCATTAGGGAGTTTGCACCTTCCTCTGCATTCACTGTGGGGTGGGAGCGTCCTGTGAGCCTCTCCCGGGGAGCAAAGGCCCCCCCAGTTCCCTGAGCCTGGTGTGCAGACAGCGGGGAACCCCGGCAGCCGGCGTTGGGGTGTGAGAGTGGCCCCAGGCCCCCATAGTCTGCATTTGAATGACAGAGTGCCTGGGCGGACCCTGCTCAGTTCTGTCAGACCCTGCTTCCCACCCACTCTGTTTGCACTAGCTGGACTATCTCCGTCTCTGCTCCGTGGGGCGTCAGCCCCTCCGGACCTAGAGCTGGGAGCGGGGCTCCCCCACTCTGGGCTGGGAGAGGGGGGGCCCCTGTCTGTGAATGTGGCTTAGTCTTGGGTGGGGGGGTTGGAAATGAACCGCTGCTGCGAGAATAAAGTTGTGTTGCACCTATTGGAATCGAGTTTGCGTCACAAGGCGGTTAGCCACCAGAGGGCGCTGCTCCCTCACTTTTCCCAGCCTGTTCCCTGGATTTGCTGTCCCCCCATATACCCCAGGGGGCCCAGACCCCCTCGCCTCCCACCCCAGGAGCCTGCACGTGGTCTTGGCCCAGAGAAAGGGCAAGAGGGAAGGAGAATCGGCTTCCATCCCTTTCCCCCACTCCCGAGATCTGAACTCGCCCCCCACCCTTCCTCTCGGCGTTTTTTCCTTTTCCTTTCCTTCCTCTCCAGGGAGGGGTAAGCCCCGGCCACAGCCCCCACTGCTTGAAAAAGGGAACCCCCCACCCCTCAGTCTTTTCCCACCCACCCTGACCCCTGCCAACAGGCCCAGCCAGCCAGACACCACCCCAGAGCCAGGCGCAATGCTGGCGGGGCTCCGTCCCAGCTGGAGCGGGAAAGGTCTTTCTGCCTGGTGAACTCCATGGGGCTGGGATAGAGCCAGCCCCAGACACCCCCTCCAATAAGGGGTGCTGCCCCTTTAAGGCTGCAGCCCTGGCAGAAAGGAATTGTGGGAGATGTAGTCCCCAGGGTTGATGGGTGTTGTAAGCTGGGCAGCGAGGCATGCTGGGAAGGGACCAGGGCTACAAAAGGGCTCCCTTCTCGGCTACCAAGAGGGGGGTCTGGGTAAATAAGGGCGGTTGGACTAGGGTGACCAGATGTCCCGATATTTGGGACTGTGTCTTATATAGGTGCCAATTACCTGCCACCCCTGTCCCGATTTTTCACCCTTGCTATCTGGTCACCCTAGGTTGGACACCTTAGCCAGCCAGCAGCTGTGAGACACTCCTTGGGCAATTGTGCACCACTGCGCATATGCAGAATTTGGGTCCCCCCAGATTTTTTTTCTTCCCTGCAGAATATGAGATTCCGCTGGGGAAGGAACGCGAGGGGCCATGCGCCCTTCCCCGGCAGGGATGTAAATCACCACTGGGGCTGGGCGTGCGTGCCAGACTGTCCCTCTCGCTCGCTCTTGCAGTGTGCCCGCTGCAGAGAAGCAGGCCCTTCTGCTGTGTCGGGTGCACTGCCGAGTCTGTGTCGGGGGGCTGCAGGGTGATCCCCCAACCTCTGTGCAGCCAGGGGCCTGTGCTCCCCACTGGGAGGCAGCCCCCATGTGCGCCCCTTGTCCATGTCACTGCGCCCGACCCGCAGAGGCGTGGGGCTGACCCAAGCAGCTGTGGGGAAGCCATGGGGAGCCTTGGCCAGGGGTGCCATTTCAGGAGGGTGGGGGGCACCTATTCCCCCCCCCCCCGAGTTTCACACTGCGCAGGCAGGTCCCCTTCTCCAGGAGCGGGGTTCTCCGGCTCCCTGTGCTAGAGACTTGGGGGTGGGCCAGGCAAAGAAGGGGTCAGTTGGGGTGTGAGGGGGAAGCAGAGGGCCCCCAGTGGAGTGGGGGAGGAGAGGTTCCCCAGTGGTAGAGCAGGGTTTTTTGGAGCCTGGGGGGGCAGTGGGATGGGAAAGGGGAGTCAATCTCCAGGGGAAGGGAGATATGAGAGCACAGGGCTGTGCCCTGAGGGCAGGGGCAGCCGAGGGGGAACGGTCCATGGGACAAGGATCCTGATGAGGGAGGGGAAGCTGAGGAAGGGTGTGCGGGCAAGGAGTAACTACGTGGGTCTTGGGGTGTATTTGCCCACTGAGAACCAGGGAGCCCCCTCACCCCTGCCTGGGAAGAGACTGGGGCACACCCCACTGCGCTAATGCGTCTCTGCCTTCTGCTCTCTGCCTTACCCCCAGGCCCGGTGCTACCATTAAGGCAAACTAGGTGGTTGCCTAGGGCGCCAATATTTGGGGGCGCCAAAAAGCGGTGCCCCGATTTTTTTTTACAGCGTTCCAGGGCTGGACTGCCGGCGGCGCACTGACACGTGCGGCTCAGACTCCCTCTCCCAGCGCAGCGGCCGCTCCACTTCTCCCGCCTCCCAGGCTTGCAGCGCCAATCAGCTGTTTGGCGCCACAAGCCTGGGAGGGGAGGAGAAT